AGGAGGTCTGGATAAACTGAATGTCCTGCAAAGGGGCTCAGTTAGGCCGAAGGCCCAACGAGCGGTCCGGATAGGCTGTAGGCCCTGCGAGGCGGTCCAAACATGCCTAAGGCTCAGAGAGCGGTCCAAATAGGGTGAAGGCCTGCTAGGCGGTCCCGTAAGGCTGAAGGCTCATTATGATGGGTTTTGGTCATAAGACATCCTATGTGCTCATACAAACCCTAATGCTTGGATCTAGGTTTCTCTATTGTACATGCTTTGAATCCAAGACTATAAACCCTAATTCTAGCATGCAAGTAATCACATTAACATGTAATTAGGTTTAAGATCATACCTTGATTGTTATGTAGCAATAACAATCCCAATTCCTCCTTGAATTGACTTTGGAAGGCTTAGAGTCACAAGTGTCACTCCTCTAATGGCTCACAAACACCATAAGCAAGAGGATGAAGAGGAGAGAGGTTGGAGGCTGCCAAAAACGTGTGGAAACCCTAGCAAGATCATTAGCCACGTTTTTGAGCCTTAAGGGGTCTTTATATACTTGGGCTATTAGGGTTATCTAACAAGGAAACCCTAAATTGGATGCTTAAGCCCTAAGCAACCCATAGACTCCTTTAATTAAGCCCATGGACGATTTCCTTATGGGTTTCCCATTAGAATTTGTCCATCCCTTAATACAAGGCAATCCATGGCCCAAATTGCAATTATCTTATAATTACAATTCCAGTCCCTTAAGTTTAATTAATCTCTTTTAGTCACAAAACTAATTACCAATTAATTATTGACTTATATTAATTAAACAATATGATTTCTCCTTTAATATATTATTCCCATAATATATTAATAAATCATATTTAATCCTTACTCTCCATAATTCATCCTATCAAGTTGCTTTGGTGAAGGCAACCCAAAAGGACCATGCACCATCGGGTCAAGTACATACCAAAATAGTTATGGACTTAGACACTAATCCAACACATTATGCATGTTATTTGCTTATATGTTATATAATATGGTTATATCTGTATGACATTGCTATTTTGGGGGTAACTCAATAAACCTTCAATCTTACATTTATCGATTATTGTTTCAGGTACTTCGGATGATCGCGGGAAGGCGAAAGCGTGACCGTACACTTCCTCTATTTTATGTTTACGATTTCTAGGAACTTTGATATGATACTATTTTGAAAACAAATTGTATTAACTTAATGATTTTTAAACATTTTAAAAAGTTCAAATTTGGCATGATTTATATGGATGTTTCAACTTTATCCATTATAATGGTCCAAACAACCAAGATCTAGTATTTTAAGTTTCAAAGGGACCAAAAGTGCATATTTCTTACTTAACCCATTAAATCCAAGTTTCCAACCTTTAGATCTAAATCAAAATGATGTTTAGATGGATAAAGTTTCAAACTTTATCCATAACAAGGTCACAAACTTTCAAGATCTAAACTTTATGCACTAAAGTGACCAAAATCTCGTAACATCGAAAACTAGCTAGATCTAATAAATACATCATCCAGTTTCAAGTTTTATACCTCCACAAGAAATATCAAGTTGAACAAAGTTTGGATCTACAAACTCCAAATCAACCAACACTTCTCCAATGAGCTTATTCTTCTCCAAGATGCACCAAGAACACTCCAAAGCACTTAAAAATCTCAAGGATCTCACAAATGGGGATAGGGTTTCAATATTAGGGTTAGAGAGGATGGAGGATGAAGGAAATAAGGGTTTGAGGAAGTTAAGGAGCTTAAACAAGCCTCAAAACCCTGAAATTAGGGTTTGGTTCTGATCGCTTATGTCTAGTGTACTCTTGGTACGTCTAACATACCAGGTTGATTCTCAACGATCAACCATTGCCTAGTACGCCCAACATTCATGTTGTACACCCAACGTACTAAACTTAACCCAAAACCCTCCTAACTTCAAACGACCATAACTTATTTGTTCTCAATCTTTTTTCGATGATCTTTATATCCACGAAAAGGTATTAAAGAGCCCCACAATATTATCTAGATATCTTGGACTAAAAACTTATCAAGCGAAAAATCATATTTCATGCAAGATTCTGACCTATGACTTTTCCCTTTCTACCTTTCGGTCCAATATGCAGTTCAGGGGTTAAATCTCTTAACCATCATTACCTCATTACATAAGGACTAAACATTGCCTCCATAAGGCCCAGAGCCTTTACACAATCAACTTCCGACCCATGACCCTGAAATAAGAAATGACAAAAAATATGATGTTACAAATATATCATGTTTCATGTTGAAACATTAAGCTTGTTCTTGTTAGTAATGGTCTTCCAATTAACTAGGGACATTTAACAAATAATTTTGCTAGACCAGTTTGTGTATGTACGCAAGCAACAGGCTCCTCAATTGTTATTCCAAATGACACACAATAATCGTTGAAGGAATAGGAAGTAAAATCGTTACCAAAATGAAAATCTTAATTACATAATACGGAGAGATTAAGATCTTAATTTTATGATCCATGAAAATAATCTTTTGAGTACTATATTGCAGGTTGATAATAAACCTACATGTGACAATTTACTCAATGCATTGTTTAAAATCATAAACTATTTGAATGGTCCAGACCATGGGTGACTTTATATATATATATAATATATATATATATATATATATAATATATATATATATATTATATAATATATATATATATATATATATATATATATATGGATAAAGTCACCCACGTCTGGACCATTCAAATAGTTTATGATTTTAAACAATGCATTGAGTAAATTGTCACATGTAGTAAAGAATATGATTTAATGACACTTTTAAATAGTAAAGAATATGATTTAATGACACTTTTAACTAGCAATGCATAATTATCAGTTTAATTTCTTATTTGATTATGGTGGTAAACCTGTGCTCATATCCTAGAATAGAATAACTCTAAACATTAGGGAAGACAAGTAGGTATCATCTAAGCAAACTAACTGATCGAAGGGACTTTACTTATCCGTATATAACGATAGAGATTTAAAGCTATCTCCTTGTGTACTGCAAAAAAATGAGATTCTTGATGAATCCGTGTTTGTTACTCCAACCATTACCAAACTAATACCTATTCCATTTAGTACTTAAGACGCTTCTGTTGCGTATAATGTAAATCCAATATCAGATCAATTATAACGAGCCTTTCAAACTAGTACTTTAAGAGCAAATAAAAGTTGTTATTCTTTAAATTAAATAATCTCTTTATTCTTTAACGAATGTCCGATTGGCTTCTCAATGATTCTAAGCATCATACTTGAATCATGATAGCATAGTCTGTCATGCCATATAAAAAAGAGTTGTGCTAATGGATATTTGGTTTATAACATGAGTCTTAAATGTGACAATGTTTGTGTAGTGTAAACCTAAGGAAAAGGATGACAACTTCTCAAAGACATTTTTCTTGCCAGTTTAATATTCTTAAAGTAGATATGATTTTAGACTGGTTTAAACATTTTGATCAAAATTTGGTTATGAGTACAACTCATTTGGAGGGAAACGGATTGTAAGTGCCTACCATGACCAACCAGACTGATTTAGAATAATAATGAATTAAATTATAACCCGTTATGTGCACCTCAAATAGAAATGCACTCCATTCGTCCCAAAATTATTATACACAAACAAAAACACACACAGATTAATAAAACATTAATTTTCATTAACTTTATACAACAAAATGAAAGTTTTGTCCTTATTTTGTCTTTAATGTTTCATTAAATGTTTAATTGGTTAAGTAATAATGAGAGAGTATTTTGGTAAATCGTTATTTATTTTTAAAAGTGGACTATTATTTTGGGATATACCAAAAAGGAAATATGGACTATAATTTTGGGACGGATGAAGTATAAGAAAATTGGATCCATACCCAATATGAAACCAAGCATAACGAAACCAGATCGTGGAAACCAATCTGAGTTGGTCCGATCAGATTTTACTATCCTAAAGATTAGATGTCGGGGTAATACTATGGTGCTGTTTGTTTTTTTGAAGCAAAAATTCATAAAGTCTGCGAGCCACCTCTTCAACCCTCTGCAGTAGAAGAGGTAGACCAAACGACTGCAGACTGTAGTAAGAAACGTGTTTGTGTGTTTAACATCTGCATGCTGCTGCAAATATTGAAAAATTTGAATAAACTGATTTTATAATCTGAAAATAGTTTTTTTAGTATCGATAATTTAATAATGTATAATGTTTAGGCAAAAATTTATGACATTTCAGCAAAAATAATGATATTTTAACAAAAAATAATGACATTTTAGCATAAAATAATGATATTTAATCAACACATTATTATTATTCAATATAAAAAAAGAAAAAAAAAATTCAACAAGAATAAAAAAACGAAAAAAATATGAAATAAGATTTCAGAAATATATAATCAAAATTTTGTAAGAAAAAAAGAAGAAGAAGAAGAGGTTGGAAGATGCAAAACAAGTGCTGCGCCAAGAAAAACAGGCACATAAGTTTTTTAATCGGAATACTTCTGAAAAACAAACAACTGCAAGATGAAAAGTGCTACGCGTGTGCTGCGTCGCGTAACAACAAGAAGTCTGAAGAAGTTTTTTTTTCAAAAAACAAACAACACCTATACGGTTGAAATCAATTACAAACAAAATAAAAAAAGTTTATTTTTAATCGGATTTAAACCAGTTATTTTTTTCATCATGACAATTAAGAACCATGCCAATTAAAAAAAACTCAAATTACCACTATATCCTAAAAAATCAAGCCGGTTAAAAAAAATGGTCCGAACCGATTTAATTTTTTTTAATTTATTATTATTATTATTATTTTTTTGCAAATAACCCCCCTAAAAACTAAAATGGAGGTTTAATTTATAAATTTGAAAAGATGTATCAGCCCAAAGTGAGTTTGCTTGGCCCATTTGGCCGAGCCCAGAACTTTGGCAGGTTTTGTTCGGACTTCGGAGTTTGGAACCGAGTGACGAATCAGTAGGCGAATTGAGTCGGTAATAATTTGGGGATATGTGAATTCATATCTCAAAAGGGCGCCAAATACCAAATTCCCCCCCTCTAAACACTTCTTCTTTTACCCTCAGAAATTTCGTCTCCATTCATACGCCCAAACGATGCAACGCCAGAAATCCATACTCTCGTTCCTTCAGAAGCCGAAAATTGAAAAACCGGTCGGCGGTGGAGCTCTCATAGGCGACTCTGTGGCTGTTTCTGAGGAGAAGATATATCGGGGAAGTTTACCTGCATCTAATCAGCCTATTATTCACTCATCTGCAATTGATTTCTCCAATGAAATCATTGGAACGGACACTCCGCCAGAGAAGGAGAAACGCCCGTTATTTTCTAGTATCAAGCACAAGTTCGTCAAGCCTAACAGTGTCGAGAAGCCTCGTGATAGGTACATTTCTATGTGATTTACTTACTTAAATTTCGAATTAAGCTGTAGTTTGCTACTTAACCACATAACTTGTACTCACTTGATGTTAAATAGAATCCTGTATCCATATCTGTACTATTATGGAGTAGGTTAAACATGAAATCATCAGGTAACTAACACTAAAAAGAATAGATCCACCAATATAGGCTTTGGAATATGGAAACCGATTCATTGGATGCATTGCAATCCTTTAAATCTCTCTTGACCACTTTCCCCTGCCCGCTGTAACCCTCATGCTCATATTCTCACCGGTGCGTCCAAATGTGTAAGTATGTTAAGAAGGTTACATTACCTCAAAATTTGCATTGCATTCCATTCACAGTAATACCATGTACATGTTTCTCTTGGTGGCTAAAATTCTACATCTAATTAATTGCAAGTGAGTTTAACTATAATAGAAGATATAACGCTGTTTGTGTTTCCATAATTTTAGATGTAATCAATGTTTTCCAAATATCTTTCCATTGATTGATTTATGTAACTTTTGAGTTAATGTGAATGGACAGATGTGTTGTAGTTTTTGGAGGTACATGAAGTGGGCAAGTTGATGCCTTGTTTTCCATGAACAAAGGCTAATGTGTGTTGAATTTTATGGTGTTTGATCACAACCTGCAGGAATTTGTCAGATAGCAGCTGTGATAATATCTTCTCAATATCTAACAACTGTAGTTACTCTAATGGAAGAGAGAAGGAGGGTTCAGTTTCTAATTTTTCAAAAATGAAAAATGTTTCTGATGTAGAAAAAACAGCTTGTCAAGGGGATAAAGGACATCCCTTGATCATAGAAAGTGATAGTGATATAACAGGGCCAGAAACTCCAGGTGCACAACCACTGATTCCACGTTTGAAGCGAGTCCAAGAAGATGGTTGTACCTTTGGCTTTACTACTGGTACCACTGCTGATTTCTCTATCAACAATAGCAAAAGAGTGAAATTTTCTCAAGATTTACCTGCTAAAAACAAGAAAGATGAAGTGGCATCTGAAATGCCAATGAACAATAGCAAAAGAGTGAACTTTTCTCACAATTTACTGTCTGAAAACAAGAAAGTTGAGGTGGCATCTGAAACGCCTATGAACAATAAAAGAAGTGCATATTTTTCTCATGATTTATCATCTCAAAACAAGAAAGATGATGTGGCATCTGAAATGGCTAGTAAATTTGACTGGCTTCATCCTTCACGAATCAAAGATGCTAATGGTAGAAGGCCAAACAATCCTCTTTATGATAAGAGGACACTTTACATACCACCTGATGTTTTGAGGACAATGTCAGCATCTCAGAAACAATATTGGGGTGTCAAAAGTCAATACATGGATGTTCTTATTTTCTTTAAAGTGGTTAGTTTTTGTCTCTTCGAACACACTTTAAAGTGGTCATGTCATCATGTGCTCTTTTTCTGCTTCTCATTATCTACTACTCAGAATGATTATACAAATGCTTGATTTGTCATAGTTGAATTCTTTTATAGGGAAAATTCTATGAGCTTTATGAACTAGATGCTGAAATTGGACATAAGGAACTTGATTGGAAAATGACAATGAGTGGTGTTGGGAAATGTAGGCAGGTATTTGTGTAGTGGTGGATATATATTATAATATTATATACTTAGAATTAGATTATCTTTACTATTTTTTGAAGTTGTTTTAGACTTTTAGTAAATTAGCATCTATTTTTTGCATTTGTTTAGGTTGGTATCACTGAGCATGCAATTGATGATGCTGTTGAAAAGCTATTGGCTCGTGGGTATGTTACTGATATGCTCAAAATCTTGTCATTTGTTGATTTGTTACAAGTTCATGGGATATCATTAAATAACTATTCACCAATTTTATGTAAAATTTGAAGGTATAAAGTTGGGCGAGTGGAGCAGTTGGAAACATCAGAACAAGCAAAATCGAGAGGATCTACTGCTGTAAGTTCTATGTCCTTTAAGATTTTGCTAAAACAACCCAAGAATCTCTAAATGTGTTTCCACTTATATAAGTGTCATATTTTGTCATTTGTAGATAACATGTCATTATTTATTTAAATATTCACAGTTTCTAAATTTTTACAGGTAATTCAAAGAAAATTAGTAAATGTGCTTACACCATCAACATTGGTCAATGGTAACATTGGGCCTCAAGCTGTTCATCTTCTTGCTATAAAGGAGGTATATTTTTTACTATTAGTTATATAGTTTTGTTGTCATTGCCAATATATTCATATTATTTAAATATAACCATATTCATTATCATTATTTGTGTACAGGGTATAAGAAATCTTGATGATGGTTCAACTGCATATGGATTTGCCTTTGTTGATTGTGCTGCTTTACAGTTTTGGGTTGGATCAGTCAGTGATGATGCTTCATGTGCAGCTTTAGGGGCTTTGTTGATGCAGGTATGCTTTCAAATACAAGAAATGGCAATGTACTTTCATTTATTTGTTTATGATAGCATTCTACTTTGAAAACTACCCATTATCATTTTTTTTCTTATTAAGACATTATATTATGAAAATACCCAATTATAGCAGTGGAATTTGCTTTGTAATTTGATGACATACAAATTTTTTATAATACAATGTTGTAAACAAATCAATGAAAGTACATTGCCATTTCTTTCATTTAACCCTAATTTATAATGCTAAAACTGCATTCTTATTCTGCTTGGTTTCTCATACAGGTGTCTCCTGCAGAAATTCTTTTTGAAAGTCAAGGTAAAGTCTCCTTTTATTTATTTTTATTTTTGAAAATACATTGCCATTTTTTTTTTTTTGCATTTTTCACCATATGCTTCCTCACTATGAAAAATAATGTGTGATATAGGATTATCCAAAGAGGCTCAGAAGGCCCTTAACAAGTATTCATTAACTGGTAAGTAGTTAAGTACATTTTATTTTTCTTTATTTACATGTATTGCTAGTTCTTTCTTATTTTGATGTCCCAACTGATTTTACTAATTTGCCCTTGTAGGTTCTGTTGCCTCACAAATGACTCCATCAGTTCCAGCCACTGATTTTGTTGATTCTTATGAAGTTCGAAATTATATTCAATTGAAAGGGTATTTTAAAGGCTCCTCAAATCCATGGGATCTTGCACTTAATCAAGTGGCTCATCAGGATATTGCATTATGTGCTCTTGGTGGGCTTTCCAATCATTTATCCAGGTTAAAGGTAAGATCTTTACTGAGATCCATAAACCCTAAATTCTATACACTAATGTGCTGTTTCATGTTAGAATTAATGTTAAAAGTTGAACTTTGAGCAGTTGGATGATGCATTAAAGAATGGAAGTATTCTACCCTATGAAGTCTACAGAGGATGCCTTAGAATGGATGGACAAACAATGGCCAATCTTGAAATCTTCAGTAATAATGCAGATGGAGGAACATCAGGAACACTTTTCAAATATCTTGATAACTGCTTAACATTTTCTGGAAAACGACTCTTGAGGAAATGGCTATGTCATCCACTGAAAGACATAGAGGAAATAAACCACAGGCTTAATGTGGTTGAACAACTCATGGGTCATCCAGATATCATGTCACTCATTTCTCAATATCTCCGGAAGCTTCCGGATTTGGAAAGGTTTTTTGGACAAGTGAAATCCACCTTTCATTCATCTGCTTTGCTTTTATTGCCACTGATTGGAAGCAAAATATTAAAGCAACGAGTAAGTCTTTCTTTCTTTCTTTTCATATATTAAGGAAGCTTACAATCTGGTGTTTGATGGTGCAGGTGAAAGTATTTGGGTCTCTTGTTAAAGGTTTACGTGTCGGATTGGATTTATTGAAGGTGTTACAAAAGGAAGATCATGTCCTCTCGTTGTTGCTAAAAATATTCAGTCTTCCGATGCTAAGTGGGAACGATGGAATTGATAAATTTCTCACCCAATTTGAAGCAGCTATCGACAGTGATTTCCCAAATTATCAAGCACATGAGATCAAGGATTCAGACGCTGAAATCCTTTCAATCTTGATCGAGTTATTCATGGAGAAATCCAACGAGTGGTTTCAAGTTATTCTCGCTTTAAACTCCATTGACGTTCTCAGATCTTTTGCTGCCACGTCAAACTTTTCCCGTCTAGCCATGTGTCGACCCGTTATAGTTCCTCGCTCAAACTCATCGGGTCCCACACTTGATATGAAAGGATTATGGCATCCGTATGCCCTTGGGGAAACCGGAGGGACACCTGTCCCTAATGACTTGTCTCTTGGAGATAACCAATTTGGTTACAATCCTCGTACTTTGCTGTTGACTGGTCCGAATATGGGCGGGAAGTCAACCCTCCTTCGTGCTACCTGTTTAGCAGTTATCCTTGCTCAGGTAAATGGGTTAAATTTGTAACTTTTTTCATAGGACGGGGACTAAAGTTGTAAATAGTACTTTTTTGTTTACAGTTAGGTTGCTATGTCCCATGTGAAACATGTGTTATCTCGGCTGCTGATGTTATTTTCACGCGTTTGGGTGCTACTGATCGTATAATGACGGGTGAAAGTGAGTTATTATTAAAATACATCAAAGTAATAGTAAAAATCATTTTTAATTTTAGCCCCTGAACTATTATGTTTCTTCCACTCTAGGTACGTTTCTGATTGAATGTACAGAAACGGCGTCGGTTTTGCAAAACGCATCTCAAGATTCTCTTGTGATTCTTGACGAATTGGGTAGAGGAACAAGCACTTTCGATGGATACGCTATTGCTTATGCTGTGAGTATGATTTATGATTACATTTACACCACTTTTCATATTAAAAATAAAATAAAACTTAAATTGGCTATTTCTACAGGTGTTTCGTCATCTTGTTGAAAAGGTGAACTGTAGGTTACTATTTGCCACCCATTACCACCCACTCACGAAGGAATTCGCCTCACACCCTCACGTGACCTTACAACACATGGCATGTGCTTTTGAAAACATGACGTCATTGTCAAATACCAGCAACAAGAAGTTGGTGTTTCTCTACCGGCTAACCACCGGTGCATGTCCGGAGAGCTACGGGATGCAGGTGGCGTTAATGGCGGGAATTCCAAAAAAGGTGGTGGAGGCGGCTTGTGAGGCGGGGGAGGTTATGAAAAAAAAGATCGGAGTAAGCTTCCGGTCAAGTGAAAGGCGGTCGGAGTTTTCTACTTTGCATGAGGAGTGGTTGAGGAGTGTTTTGACGGTGTCTAAAGCTGAAGCCCATTGTCTTGGGGATGGTGAAGAAGATGACGTGTTTGATACTTTGTTTTGTTTGTGGCATGAGCTTAAAAGCTCAAACCAAAAGTTGAAGTAAATCAGGGTAAAAAACTAAAAATAGGAATGGTGATTATTGAAGGGTAAGTTTTTGGATCATCTAATCTAATTTTAGCCCAATTATGTTAATTACATCCAAAAGTTCAATGCTTACTAAGAAATTATGACGTTTCTATAAATTGTGACGCACTAAAATGGTGGCTAATTTGAAAAATCGTTAATTTCTTTTTTTGACTAAAGTATTGGAAAATGTTTAAGGTTGTTGGTTAGATTTGCATTTTCTTATTTTTTTTTTTAATATATATAACCTATTAAACTGCCTAAACATCATCTTATTTGAACAATATGTTAATAATTCAATAATTTACTAAATTAATGCTCTAATCAGTAGTTAATAATATGACATAAGTTGTTACCCATCGTGATCTACTTTGGCACCTTATGTTTTAAAACTGTAACTTATAAATTAAATTAATCAAAAGTGTTAGTAATATATTTATACACAATTAATAAGTTTATTCTGGGATTAAACATAAGTATTAGTCTTTACTTGAACAACTAAGAAATTTATCAACTCAAAAGTTTTCATAGCATCGGTTGTAATGGATCTGTTAAGAAAACAGCAACAAAAGCAACAGATCCTTATGTAAGCTCCATGACATATATACAAACACAAATAATGATCATAACTTTTACTCGGTTCTCTCAACCGGATTGTAGTTCAGTAATTCTTTGATATTTTTCTAATAGGTTAATTTCGTTTGTATGTTTTCTGGACCCAATGTGTAGTATACAAAATTTTGTAGAGAAATCGTATTAGCTCAGGCATGAGACACCATTGTTTACTCTCATGCTGGATGGTTCTTGCCATTATCTTATGGCACGAATGGCAAAGGAGATGTATGTCAAACTTGCAAGACAAGCCTATGATATGCAATGCTTAAATATGTTGTTACCTATGCTCTAGAAAGTTCTACAAAGATCAGAAAGATATGTGCAAAGATTTGTTTGTCGAGATGATTTACATGCAACAACCACCCGACTTTGATCATGTATGCCTACTTTAGGATTGTTCCATCGGTTGTATTTATTTGTGTACCATAGCAGCCTACGTTGATTACTTTTATTGCATCATTGTAGTTCCTTTTTTTTTTTTTTACTTGGTAAGACGCTGTACTTTCAAAAATCAACATGATTATAGCATTGTATTTTTGAATTTTTTAACTTATTAAGACATTATATTTTGAAATATCTATCCAAAATAACAATGGGGATTGCGATTACCATTTGTGAAATCTGGAATTTATTCTTTGGGAGAGGCTTGACTCTTGAGCCTCTAGCAAATCTGAAGCCAATTGTTTTGGGGATGGTGATGAAAATGACGTGTTTGTTATAATGTTGCTTTTAGCAAAATTATGTCTCATGTAAGTTAGATTTTATAAAGGAGTGAGTATAGTAGGTTCGATAATATTTTAAAATGGATTTAGTTGACAAAATCAATTTTCTCCAAATATTTAGCTTTTTGATAAATTGTGTTAAATATGATTATTAAAGATATTTTGTTATAGTTAAATGGTAGATGTCACTTGAACTTTTAGAAATATGGCTTGTAGTTATTTGTTGTTCAGAAATGTAGTAATACACGAGTATGCCATTTGTATAGTTTTGTTTTAATATGAATTATATGATATAAACTTGGATATATATTTTTTTTGTTATTATGAAAGTACATTTTTTATGTAAATGTTATTTCCAAAGATAAATTTTTTTGGATGCACTTTTTATTAAAAAATAGGATGTTATAAATTGATAACGTTTCATTTTCATTTTGTGTTTTGTTTTGTGAGTTTGACATATGGATGATAGAGGAGACATGTATTGTGGTCGATGAAATGGCTAATCAATATATATTTTTTTTATTTAGGTTATCTTTGGCAAAACAAGCTAGGATAAACCACAAAATATCTTATTTTAGCTTATAAATTAGTTTTTTCTGATAATTTACTTTGAGATAGTTTTTGATAGTTTATGAAATATTTTCAAAAATAATACCAATAATGCTTTTGATTATGTGTATTCTTTTTTCTTTTAGTTATATATCTAAATGTGCTAATAGGTCATTTTGCATTTGAACTCCAGCTTTTAATTTTATTTATTTTATGAAACATTATTAATTCATAAGCTAATGTATCAACTAAAAATTAGTTTTTAAGCTAAAAATTAATTTTTAGTTAGTCTGTCGAATAAGACCATTATGTTTTATTTCTATAGGATTCTTATTTAATTTGAGAAATATGTTTAGCGTAAAATTTCTAGGGCTAATGATATGTGAATCGATGCTTGTTTGTTCAAAATAAAATGAATAAAGTAAATTGATGTTTATTTTGTGTGTTGGGCCTTGGGGGTGTTGGATTTTGAGTGGATAAGATGCGAATGAGAAATTGAGGCCCATTTCTTCTTCATTTAAAGGAAAGTCAAATTTTAAACTACAACTCTTCGAACATCAAAAAGTCAAAAAGAAACATCAAATCGCGCACTTCAAACCCGTAAGCTCATTTTAGCATCAACCCCACGCTCTGCAATCTCCATTCGACTTCAAAACCCTAGCGACAAACACTTGGAAGCTTCGTTCACTTCGCATCAAATCCTCCAAAATTCATTCACAATATTCGAAATTTCGAAATGTTCATGTGAAATTAGGGTTCATCTCAGCGGATCGAAAATTTTCAGTTTTCCCCTTTCTCGCTCCATTAAAGGTAGGGTTTTGTATTTTTGTATTGGTTGCTTTCAATTAATTTACTTAGATATCTATTTTTTTTTTCTTGACATGGGAGTAGTTCGTAAATGGATTACAATCCATCGGTTCGCCCAAGACGTCCTGTTCGTAACAACAACAATTACCATGGTAATAGTACTTACAACGAGTACGAAAACGATGAATTTGAAGAAGAAAACGAAGGTTTGAATCAGAGATACGGTTATCAAGAGGACGATGAAGAAGAAGAAGAAGACGATGATGAATATCAACATGGATATTATAGGGTTTCCGGAGGTGGAATTGATACAGGTGAATCTTCTAGGCGTCACCAGAAGAAGCGAAGATTAGATAATTTGGTTTCAAATTATGAATTCGCCCCTCGCACCAATGCTATTCCTTCTAAAGAAGCTTATGGTGGCGTTCCTGATAGGTCAGGGGATGAATGGAGTGAAAATGCAACTTTTGTGTTGTTAGAAGTGTGGGGCGATAGGTATTTGCAGTTAGGGAGGAAGAGTTTAAGGGGAGATGATTGGGTTGAGGTTGCTGAAAAGGTTTCAGAGATGTGTAAAACGGAAATCAATGAAACACAATGTAGGAACAGGTTGGAGACATTGAAGAAGAAGTATAAGAAAGAGAAAGCAAAAATGGAGGATATGGGTATGGGTGGAAGAGGATCAGAAGGGTATCATGGGAAATGGGGATTCTTTAAAAGAATGGATATGTTATTATCTCCAAAGAAACAACACAATGGTTTGCCTTGTGGGGTTGATTCAGGGGAATATGTGTTTATGAATACCAAAGTTTATTTAAATCAATCAAATGCCTTGGATGAGATGAGGGATAGCCCTGGGGAATCAGAGTCTGATGAAGATGATTCTGATGACGGGAAAGATGATGATGGATTTAGATTGTTGGCTGAATCTGTTCAGAATTTTGGGGAGATTTATGAGAAGATCGAGGGTAGAAAAAGACAGCAGATGATGGATTTGGAGAAGATGAGGATGGATTTTCAGAGAGAGTTGGAATTGCAGAAGAAACAGATTCTTGAAAGGGCACAAGAGGAAATTGCAAAAATAAGGGAAGGAGATGATGAAGATGTTAATTCGGTTGAAAATTTAAGTGGATAATCAGGTACCTTTCAATTCCTTCTTTTATTAGCTTTGGCTTGAACTGGGATTCAGTTACATTCCAATCACACTGTTATGAGTACATAATTGAATTCTGTTGGAATTCAATCCCATGTGATTTCCTCCTTGTTAAAAATTACTCAAATATCCTTTTAACCCTATAATTTCACAAGTATTCTTGAAGCATTCTATTACCAAAGCTTTGAATTATATTTAATCTTGTTTGCAGTGGCAAATGGATAGATGAAAATTGAAGGTGTTACATATGGAGTCTTGATCATTTCTTCCTTCTTTCTTCCCTATCTAGGAATAAGAGAAGGAAGCTAGCATGTTTTATTGATTGTATTTTGACTTGAAGCTATTATGTGTCTCAAGTAATAATATAATGTTATCCACATTTTTAATAAGCCTAAATCTATTTCTTTCCTCTTTATGTAAATCGTATTGCATTCACATCCACATATATATTGTTTTTGTCATTAGAGTACACATGTCTAGACTGAACTTGAACAAGCTTTTGAAGGGTTATTTTCGATGATTGAAGATGAGAAGGGTATTTACGTCTTTTGGACATATGACAGATTGAGATTGAGTCAATGTCCCACCTTCTTGAGTTGATAGTACATGTGAGAATAAGGTTACATAGGTCTTTTAACAATTGGTAAAATGTGAAATTAAATGTGAAATGAAGTTAAAATCTTTAAGTTATCTGATTAAATCATCAAATAAAATAGGGAAATCTCCAAAAAAATCCCAAAGTTTTAGGTTAATTTATGATCTAGTCCTAAATTTACTTTTGTTAATGAAAAATGACAGGAAACCGGCTAATGGTATCAATTTAACCCTTTTTACCTTTTGTAGCAGGTTACTGTTGTTGTGGCATGCTAAATGAACTGTTTGGCTGAGTTGGCTGCTAATGTGGCATACTTTTTCTTTATAATTTTAAAAAATCTGATTTTTAGAGAAAAGAAGGGAGGGGAATCGAACCCGTGACCTCCCCTTCTTATACCTTATATCTTACCATGTAAGTTAGAAGCATTTATTGCTAGTATTTCTTCAAATGTAATTATAAAGTCTTGATAATTTACCCTTAATTACCATCTGAATATTCGCATCTTCCTCCCTCTAACCCTTCTTCCCCACATCTTTCTTCTAACTTCAATTCTCTCATCTCATGCCACTCTTTTCACAATCAAAGCCTCTCTTAAATGGGTTTCCAAGAATCGTCATGATTTCACCAGAACAAACATAGTCATGATTCATGTAGGTGGTGAACTCTTTCAAACAACTATACAAATCCTAACCCTAGTTGGTCCGATAATCTTTTCTCCAATCTCTTCAATTCTTCTGAACAACCGCACAATCCCTTTTATTGATAGACTCTGAATTGGTTTCGATTCTTTTATCTCTATTAAGAACTCGGAGTCTTCCATGCAAAGCCAAAAGCTTTGAGATTCAAGATATTGTTTTTGAAGCGAAGTTTTATGGGGTTGGACATCTTGTTCAATCTCAATCAGTGTCGGTTTCATATAGGTTTTGGTGGACGTACCGACGAATTAGAGAAAGAATTCAAGTTTCGACAAGGTTTTGGGGAAGAAAATGGAGGCAAGACTAAAGGTATATAGAATGGTCCTGTAGGTTGATGTGAGGAGGAAGACGAAGGTTATAAAACTTTATAAATAAAATTAATGAAATAATAACAATTAAACTTTCTAGTTCACATGGTAAGATGTAAGGTTTGGGAGTGAGAGGTCACGAGTTCGAGTCCCCTCCTTAATTTTCTCAAAAAATAAGATTTTTTAAATTATAAAGAAAGAGCATGCCATATTAGCAACCAACTCAGCCAAACAGTCCATTTGGCATGCTACATCAGCAGTAACCTGCTACAAAAGGTAAAAAGGTTTAAATTCATTACAATAGTCGGATTCTTGTCCCTTTTCATTAATGAAATTTAATTTAGGATCAGATCATAAATTGACCCAAAACTTTAGGATTTTTTTTTGGAGATTTCCCAATAAAATAAAATCCTCTTCCTTGATTTGAATAAGCTTTTAAAGGAATCCTCTATCAAACATGAGGAGCATAGATATCGATACAAGTAACCTACATATTAGATGTCCACATACCTTCAACGACCAAAAAATACTCTAAACAAGTATGACTTGAAATAAACACTAACAAATCCTATATACTAAGGATCCCCCTTTTCGAAGAACATTCAAAATCAAAGTGCATATTCCCCTGCAATCTGTTTATCATTCAAAGATTAATGTGTGCCTTATCTGTTTCTTGAACATCTAAAAGAATGATACAATGGTTTCCACATAATCTTTTGGTTAACCGATGTTCATCACCACTCTGAATTCCACGAACATTTCATTTATTTATTGTACAAATCAAACTTCTGAACCACACTAATATCTTATGAATTGGTCAATTGGTTGATATTGTTACAAAAGTATAAATGTAATGATAATATGATATAATTGAGAAAAAAAAGCTTGATGTCAAAATCGAAATTTTGTGATAATATAATGACTTTCTTGCAATTTAAAACTCAATGTAAAAATTAAAATTTTGATAAACTAAGTGACTTTATTGCAATTTGGAAAAAATGATTACTGGAAGAACAGGAAGAACCGGTCATTTGGTTGACATTGCAAATAAATTGTAAATATAGTAACATAATTAAGAAAAAAAAAACAGTGTCAAAATCAAAATTTTGTAGTAATATAGTGATTTTCATGCAATTTGCACTAATAGTTTTAATAAAATACATAGAGTTAACAATGTTATTTATCATATATATACTTTTTTCTTTTCTAAGAATAAATTACATGAATTGTCCTTGTTGTTTAGTCCACTATGCGAGTTTTGTTTTTACCTTTTGCTTTTCATTTAAATGATCTCAGATTAGTTTTAAACTATCATGTTTTAATCATGTCAGACATAAAATAATTATTTTACTCTTACTAATTTTCTTTTTTGTTTTTCACTTGCACGTTTCAATACCGATGACACTCCTATGTCGCCAACCACCTAAGACCACCGAAATTGATTTTGAACCTCATAACAAAAATCATCGTCTAGAACCCTCGATTTCTAATATATCAATGCTTTTTTCCTTCGTCGTGAGAGAGAAACATAGTGTTTTCCTAAACACCTATGAGGTTTTTTTCTTGTTGCTTGAGTTCTGCAAGATCCCCCTGTAGCTCGATTTCTACAAGTTTTTGTCTTCAGATTTAGGTTGCAGTGGCTAAGAGTGTTTTTTTTACATCTGATTTTTATTCATAGATTTTCATTTCTTTCGGGTATTTAAGTGTCACTGGGGTTGTTTCAAGGGCGGTGGTGAATGGTGATGCTGGACGATGGTGGGTAGTGATGTTGATTTGATGGTGGGTAGTGATGTTGATTTTCAGTTGGTGAGTGGTGAGAGGTGATGTAGGATGGTGACTAGAGATGGTGGGCGATGAGAAGAGGTGATCAATGTAGGGAGAAAAGAGAAGAGTATGGTGAGGGGGGGGGGGGAGGGGATCCATGTTATATTAATTATAGTTAAACAATAAAAACAAAAATAAAAGATAGTTAAATAATAAAAATTAAACAAAAGGAAATCAAACAGAAGCAATATAGATTTTATTTAATGTCATTCAGAAATGAAAATTACAATAAAAGAACAACACAAAGCCGTCTTTGTAAAAAAAACACGTTGAAACTCGCATATTGAATCAAACCACATGGATGATTCATGCGATTACCCTTTTTTGTAATTAAACTATAAATAGAATGATTAAAATTATTTATCGTAACATATTTAAGTGTTTTGAGATATATACAGTAAAGTCCCAATATTTTTATCGATTTAACAAGAAAGTCCTAATTTTTTTTTTTGACAGTAAAATCCAAATTACCGGCAGTTTTTTTACACTTTTACCCTTTTTTCCCGGTTAGCCGGTAATTAGGACTTTTTTGTCAAAAAAAAGAAAGTTTGGGATTTTCTTGTGAAATCGTCAGTTAGGACTTTACTGTAAAAAAAAAATAAAGTTTAGGACTTTCTTGTAAAGTTGTTGAAAATATTGAGACTTTAGTGTATATATAATTTGTTTTTGGTTAGAAATTTAATGGTATGATACTCTTTAAGCATAAGAGTTATTGAAACCTTCTCTAATCAAGTAGATCCTATTGAAATCTTTAACGTTTGCTTCCTGTTAAATCGTTTTTTTAATCTCAACAAATGGACATTGAAAAAAATTGAGATAATCAAGAAATAAAAAACGTATTTAATGTTTGTTTTTGTTGCGGACTTGGTATTTGTCTTACATAAAAAGACTATTTTACCATTGATTTTTTAATTTATTTAAGTAAACACACCCCAACCCACCCCCACCTCACCTTATTTTACCTATAGAGTAAATTACATGAATAGTCCTTATGGTTTGGAGTAATTTTCACGCTTGGTCCTTAATTTATTTTTATAACTCGGGAAGTCTCTACTGTTTGTTTTTGTTACGCACTTGTTCCCTACTGTTTGTTTTTGTTACGCGTTTGGTCTCTGTCTCACCTAAAAATACTATTATTTAAATAGGGAAAAATGGTGGGGTAGGTAAGGTAAGGTGAGAGGTGAGATTAGGGGTGTGTTTATTTAAATAAATTAAAAAATCAATGAGAATATAGTTTTTTTAGGTAAGATAGGGTCAAACGCGTAACAAAAACAAACAGTAGGGACCTTCCGAGTTAAAAAAATAAGTTAGGGACCAAACGCGCAAATTACCCTAAACCATAGGGACCATTCGTGTATTTTACTCTTTTGTTTTACTTTATTTAAATAAGGGTATAATAGTCATTTTAGGTTAGATAGGGACCAAACACGTAACAAAAACAAACACTAATGATATTCCAAGTTAAAAAAATAAGTTAAAAATCAAACACGTAGGTTATCCCAAACCATATGAACCATTAGTGTAATTTACTCTAAAATATATAACAAAAATGGCAAAAAAATAATACTCATATATGGAAGAAATAAAGAGATGGTTTTTTGAGTTGATAGTTTTTAACTTATTTTTAGGTAAGACAGAGATCAAATACGTAACAAATACAAAAACAAACATTAAAAACCTTCCGAGTTAAAAAAATAAGTTAAAGATCCCAAACCATAGGAACCATTAGTGTAATTTACTCTAAAATATATAACAAAAATGGCAAAAAAAATAATACTCATATATGGAAGAAATAAAGTCATAAAGAGTTGGTTTTTTGAGTTGATGAGTGTAGAGGCTCGTGAGGTGTTTGCCCCAACCGTTCTTAATAAAACCAAACTTCAATTTCTTCCTTTTTGGGTTGTTTGTGGTTGAAAAAACTATTCCCCAAAAAAGAAGGAAACGAAAAATAACATGTTACAACAGTTACATCTTATCTGTTTATTTTTTAATTTCATTTTCTTTTGTTAAAAGCTCTAAAACGTTGGTAAATACATTCAAAGAAACTAACTCTTATAGCAAAATTATTAGCTTATCCTTTAGAAATCACTTATCTTTTATGTATCTTATATAAATATATATACTTTAAA